GTAAATGCATTGGTGCCAGTTCGTTGGAAGACAAGAAGAATGCGATCATGACTGATTTTGCTGAAGTCACCAAAGCTGATGTAACACTGAACAACTATCTCACCCGGAGCAAGAACCTTTTCTATATATTTTCAAATATTTTCTGTTGCAGTCACTTTATGCTCATGAGTCTCTACAGAAATTGTTGCGCCATCCTTTGGATGATTGTATGCTTTTTTGCCTCCTTCCTACTGCCTTGCCTTAAGGAACATCAAGTCGGCACCGAGTGTGAAGGGCAAAGGTGCTGCAGAGAAGACTGAGGGTGGTGGCCCAAAGCGAAAGCCGCGTGCAAACAAATCTGAGAAGGCTAAGGCCTCTAAGACCAAGGAGTCTGGCAAGGCTAAGGCCAAGAAATCCAAGGAATGATTGATGCACTTTTTTGGGGGCATGGTGGTAACAAAATGCCACATGTGTTAACTTAACTTTGACAGGGGATTGCTGGAGTGTTTCTAAACACTCCGCTTCCATCCAAGTTGATGGATGATAGCTGCACCGGATCAAAATTCGATATGTGGGCATGGTGGGCTGTTCCTTCTGGTCAGGTGTGAACGCTCTTCACCCCACCCGACACCCTGATTGATTTGATGAGTATATATATATATATATACACGATATATGAATATGTCAGCTAGAATGTTTTCGGTTATCTTTGACCCCCTGGTAGGCCTGGAAGATAAGCTAGAATGTTCTGAATTATCTTGGACCCCCTCGCAGGCCTGGAAGATGAGCAGGGTCACGTTGATTCCGGAGGCCGGCCTGGCTCAGGTGCAACTTTTTTTCCCAGATCGCTGTTAAAACTTTGACAGGGGATGGTGAATCTTCAAGTGATGACCTTGCTGCGGCACTAGTTCAAGATGCAGAGCTAGGGGTTTCTGGGACCAAAGAGTTCAACATATACACAATAATACCAGCTCTTAAATTACACAAGTGGCCCGGCTGAGGCTGCATCATCAACTGGTGTGATACGGATGGCGGCTGTTGCAGCCAAGAGGGACTGGAAACTAGGCGTTTGTCAACATACTTGAAAGTGAATATATATATATATAGATAAAGTTTGATCATCATAAACAACAGCAAAGGGGTTAATTTCGCTTTTGACCCTGTTGTCCCTGAAGGTGTCATGGACCCGAAGGTCAACAAACTGGCTCGTTTCAGGGGAACAAAGAGTGGAAAAACTGGTAAGAATGCTTCTCGAGATTTCCATCGGTTTTTGCGGAGAGAGGGGAAGATGTTCAATGTCAAGATATCAACACCTGAGATTCCTATCCGGCGGAAAGTTCGTGGGAAGCATGGAAGGCGTTGCAGTCATGAGTTCATGGAGAAGCACCCTTGCCTATACCTGTCTAGTTGGATCGCATCCATCTTTGGAAACTGTCCCAAGTTTCTGTTAGGTGGCCATGATCCCCGGACTGCAAAGGGGCTCTTGCAGGCTGAGAACATGTTGAAGGAGTTCTGGGCTAACTTTGCTTCGGTGCAGCCCTCCCACCCCATTTTCGAAAGGAGCCCTCAAGAGCAAATGCGAACGTTGCCAGTGGCTATACATGGAGATGAGGGCCGGGGTTTGGGGAAGGTCCCAGTGTTGGTACTTTCCTACCAGTTGCTGATCCCCTACACTGGGCCCAACCGCCTGAATTCCACAACGTTACTGGGTTGGATTTAGTTTAAGCTTTGATGGGTTCTCCAAAATTTACTTGAGCCTACAAGATTCTATTCCAATGGGCAGGGGATCTCATGTTGAGGCATTCGTTCACCACAAGATTGTTGTTCAGCTTGGTTCCATCAACATGGTATTGCAAAGATGATGCAACCGTCGACAGCTTGCGCGAGCACCTTGCGAGTGATTGCGTGGATCTTTTCCATAAGGGTGTATCTGTCAAGGTTCATCACCAGAAATGTTTGGCCACCCTTGAACATGTTTTAAACTTCAGGGATTATGATCTGTTGGAACTATTTCCCCAACAACCATCCTCCCATATAGGTTGGTGATGATGAGACAACTTGGTTCGTGGCGGTGACTGGATGCAAGGGGGACTGGCCGTGGGTGCGGAAGGCATACCACCTCGCAACTGGCTTTCGATCTCTTCGAATATGTCACTTGTGTCCATCCCAGGTTCCCTGCAGACATAATTCAGTTATGTTTATATGTTCTTTATGTTGTGTGTCCTCTTTTTGCTACATAGGCTGTGCAACCATCATGAATATCTTAAGGAGTGGTGGGATGTAAGTCGAGAAGGGCAACTTCGTACATGGGCAGGAGGAATCCCGACACCTTTCAAACTCAACAAGGTTTCCCCTTTGAGGTCAATCCCTGGATGTGATACACCAGAATGCATACGGCCAGACCTCATGCACAATTTCAACATGGGTGTTGGTGGAGACCTTTCCGCCAGTGGTTTGATGGCAGCATGTCGCATCTCTATTTTTGGGGAAGACCGCCGATTTCAATCCCGTCTTGATCGTGCCCATGATTCTTTTCATGAATGGTGCTCCCAGAATCGCAAAACAGCTTCGATCAAGTCGTTTGAACTGAAGAAGTTCAAAGCCAAGACGACCCTTGCAGATCAATTAACATATGTTTTTGATTGAGCAAGTTAAAAAATCTCAATCCTGTATGGTTCTTTCCATGCCTTTCCCATTCCCAGTGCTGCCTTGTAAGGAGCGCCGACTTCCCGCAAGGAACTGGTCGGGCCCATGACACTGCCTTGCTATGCAAGTGGCTGGCATGGGAGTTGAACAAATGGGGCTCGCATGATGTTGTACTTTGACTATACACTTGTGTTTTGGTAGGCCCTGAAGATTGAACCAGAAAACTTGGGGAATGGATTGATGTTTGATGTTGGGTTGTGGTTTTAATGACCGCTATACGAAAACCAAAGGATGCGGGAGACATTGATCTTCTGGAGCTTCTGAAGTGGACATTGAACAGTGCCAACAGCTTTTTCTCTGGTCTTCACAAAGAAGGCATCTGGTTGAATCAGAATTGTGCCCGCTCAATTTTGGAGCATGCTTTCAATAGCTCGGAGTCTTGATTGCAAAGCTGCATTCATTTGCCCAGTGCTGAAACCATAACCTGGGCCCATACAATAGTGTTTGTCGCGCCCTCCATCTAAGGAAGGCTATGCGGGATTGGCATCTCTTTGCGCATCTCGGGGCTGGGCCCTATTTCGGATTCGCCCCAAGCTGCACCTCTACACCCACACCCCGATTCTTAACAATCGTGGTTTTGACTTCCACAATGGGGAAATAGATAACTGTTTGATCCTGGTATTGGTCGACTTGATCCATGTTTGGCTTGTTGCCCAGGAGAGCCATGGAGCTACAACTTCTTGCTACATCCAATCCAAACGAGAAGATCCTCTCCCCACTCTGCTACTCATCATCCCTGTGCATCCTATTTTTTTAGTGGAAGCCACCCAAAAATGTTTTGGGGGATATGATATTAGCTATGGGGATATGTGTAACACATCACCTGCAGCCCAGGTTGGGCTTGCTGGTCCGATGAGGACTTCGTTGGAAAGACATGCAGAGTGATCAGAAGGTTGAATGCTGGTAACCTCATAGGGTGGCGATGTATCAGCAGGTGCTTGCTGAAATACAAGCGCTATTTTGACAGACGGCTCAAACACTGAGTCTCCGACCTTAAGATGATGTGACCGCAGAAGAGCACAAAGTGTGGGTGGATGTGGAGGGTCAGCTTCTGTGAGGGCAAGTTGGCAGGGATCCCCAACACAGTTCGAGCACTTTTCAATAAAACGAACGTTTTCTGGAAAACGAGCGCAAATCACACATGAGGTGCAGAAAACATGTGATACAGAAATTTGTGTAGCATTGGAGGGCCCTGGGAAGTAATTGTTCGACCTCCGTTGGCAAATTGAAAAATCGCGCAAAATCATTTCGTTTGTGTAGGATGGTCTGGCACCGTAGCATCGACCTTTGCAGGAAGGCAGACTGGACTCTCTGGAAGGCCTTCCATCGTCGCTGAATCGGTGAAGACCGGGCGAGACCTGGAGGGCAAGACCTCACTTGGACCGCCCTTCTTACTTCTCGTGTCGAAAATAGCAGGTCTCTGAGCCGCCAGCTTGGCCCAGCACTGAAGGCCCGCTTTGCAGAAGGCGTAGTAGATCTTGCAGAGACGGCTTCGTCCTTTTTGAAAAGCTCCCATGGAGTGAAAAGCTCCCATGGAGTGGGTAAACGGAAGGCGTGTTTGCCTCCTAAAAAGGCATCGCTGCGCAAACTCGCGACTGGTGCCAGGATCAAAACAACCAAAAGGCTCCGGCCAAGTCAAGCCACTCAGGCCACCATTGCCCCGAACACAGACATGGGCGGAATGACTCTGTCTGCCATACTTGTATAATATGTGGAGTGTCTTGGATTCTTGGATTGGTGAGCTTCTTTGGGAATGTGTTTTCTGCACGTGGGGATGGAGCATCGCTTGCTAAGAAAGGGGTGCAAAACCCATTTCTTCGGCGTGTTTTGACTTCGTTGGTTGACCGGGTTGCATTGTTCGGCAGAGTCGTTGAAACTAAAGGCAGCAAAGCAACGACTGCTGCTGCTCCGTCGTTCACACACAGCAACGCAGCTTGGTCATGGAGGTAGGTGCTGCCATGACCCTAGAACACACTGCGCACTGCGTTTCAAAAAACAACAACATGAGCAACGCAGCAATACATAGTACGCTCAAGATGTTTTCCACACAGCCTTTGCTAAAGTATGCTGAAGTATATCCACCAAAGATGAATGAGTTCCTGGCTGAGGCGATTTGTGCGTATGTCAGCACGCGCAATCTTCCCAATGTCGATCTGGTTTTGTATGGGTTTTGTATAACAGTTGACAGTCGTAAAACCATGGCTCTTCCGTAAAGACTATTACAAAAACACCACCATTTCACCAGCATCGACACCAAGCTTCGGGCGAGGACCCCTCCACGTCCGCGCAGTTTGAGCGCTCGGGCACCGCTCCAGGTGGCTTGGTCTTAGTCCACGGGGGTCCCGGAAGCGGCAAGACGGAGTTGGCCGCGCACGTCCGCGCCTGGGCCAACGAGCATGACCTGACCGTGCTCGCTGGCCGGGAGGCCCAGATGACGGCGGAGACCGTTGGAAGACGAAGATGGATAGAGAGACGCATGAACCTCAGTGGAGGTAGGGAATAAAAGGTGAGACTCTGAAGATCTTCCAAATCACGAACTGATCCTCCTCTCCAAGCCTGCATAAGAGGCTAATTGTAGATTTTTGTGTTGTCAATGGATTGGATTGGTTGCCTATGCTTCCTGTCGTGGTCTTTGCTCCGAACATCACCTCCTCTCGGGTCGCGACCACATCCACCACACGTCAGTCTCCGAGTACGTCCACGAACGACGCGACGCGGACGCGACGCGGACGCACGCACCTCCGGACGCCTCGGCGAGGTCAAAACCAGAGTCCCACCGGGACGATCACGGTGCCGAGGCTTTGTTGGCAGGAGGCTTTCTCCGGTCTGTTTGCCTGGTCTGGTGGTCTGGCGGTGAGGGTTTTGAGGTGGACACCGCACCGTTGATTGGTTGAGATAGGGGGGGGGGTGGTTGTAGCTGCTCATGACAAATTTGTATGTTTGGGCAAATCATCACTGCGATTCTGAGGGATGACACTCCCTAGAATCCTGAAGTCAGAAGGCTGTTTCCCTCTTCCTGAAGCCCACTTTGACCCAGAAGCCTTCCATGTTCCAGGTCTAAAAGTTAAGTTATGTTTAATGATTGATTGACTATGGTTTTATAGACTACCACTAGAAAATATTTATCCTTTTTGTTTATCTATATGGTTTTCTAATGGTTTCTACAGTTATTTGGATGTTCAGCCAGCAGACATCCGATTCACCCGGGGGCCACCTCTAGCGACGTTTCAGTTCCCGGTCATTACGACCTACCCTGGCAGTCTGCGGATCACCTGCAGGTCACCTTGGAGCATTCTATACTTGGGGGACACCTCACCGAAAGCATCGAAAAGCATGAACCAACAGAGGTTGAAGAACTGAAGAGCCTTATTATATACAGTATCCCATATAGGTACCCCAGGTGACGGGTCCGAGGTCACTGAACCTCTCTTGGAACAGGACCGAGGGCACACCTTCGATCTCGTTTCGACCAATCCTCTCGGATCGATCGAAGCTCGGGAGCTGTGGAATTGGCCCGATCGGTCCCCCAGATTCTTTGCCACGTCGCATGTCGCTGTGGAATTGGCCCATGGGCCCCCGAATTTGGTCGATCGCTGTAGCTGGCTCGACGCCATTTTTTCGAGTTCCCCTGTTGGTCGGAGCGGCACCGGGGCGCCGACCTGGCCCTACTGGCACCCTGACGCGTCGGGCTCGACGTGTGTGGCTCCGCCAGGTCTTCGGGGCCTTGCTGAAGGAAGCGCGTGCCGATCCGCGACTTGACGTGAGTGCGCAGTCTGGAAACCCCAACCGGAAATGAATGGATGGAACGAAACACAGTCCCAACCACTTGCTATGTAAAGGATCTCAATTGCCCTGTTGGAACAACCATTATTGTTGTTGTTTGAATCTCTAAAAAAAGTTCGATTGGGCAGTTTCTTTCTTTGAGGGAGCGAAGGATCACAAGGATCTGCATGTGGACTCTTGATTATACAGTAAAAACACGTCCATTTGGATTGTAAAACCTTTTCGTAAATATAATATATATGGGGCGTTTTAATACAAGATTCTACATCAAACCGTCGTTTTGCGGACGGTGATGCTTGTGCCTGTGGGAGTGGTCCCCACTTTGTGAGGGGCTTTTGGGCCAAAAGTTCCGCAACGCCACGCCATAAGGATCAAGACCTCCAACTGTTTGCCCCTTGAAAGCTGGCCGATGCTCATGGATTTTCGGTTCGTGGACATAGAATTTAGGGTCGTGAAGACAAAGTGTGCATCTTGCTATGCAGGCTGTGGGTGAGGAAAAGGTACTGATTTGGGGAAGCATCAAAACCTGAAGCCCAGCCAGTCCACCATTTGCCGCGAGTCACACCTTCCACCAGAACCGCTCGTGCCCGGTCGGTCTCCGACTAGTGCCATGGCCCACAGCCACTCCCTCTTCATTGGCTTTTCCTGGTTTCTTCTCGAAACCAAGCAGAGCAGCCTGAAAACGAAAGAATGCGCGAACCGACCAGCGAATGTGCTTTCGGACAATCACTTGGGTGTGAGACCACTGGAGTTTCGTCTATTTGGGATTCTTCCAGTCTTTTGGTGTTCAACCTGTGTATGTTTGACACCAAAATTGAGTTTTGTTGTGCGCTTTAGCAGGTGTTTCCAACCAGGGTCTCACCATCTCCACGCCGCCTCTTCCAGCACTGCGCTTCTCCTGCCGGTGCACAACGCCCGCCGTGGTTGGAACACCGAGCGCCGTCGGTCGCATCGAGGTTTTGGAATCCGAAGAATGAGTCGGTGCTTTGGGCAGCAGTGCTGGGACAGAGCCTGGATGGTGTCCTGGATGGGTGTCCCAGACCAGACCTGTTTGCCCATAGACTCCATTGGGGGTCAATGTATATATGTATGACATACATGGAGTGTTTGGGACTGGAAGAATTATAACTTACTATTGACCGCGGAAATCCACCACGCCAGGCCTGCTCTCACTGGTGTCACCAGCGAACCGACAGGGCTCGGACCACACGGACTCCGTGTGGACCTTGACTTCAGCGGTGTGAGAGGGGGCACCAAACGGATCCAGAGAGGTTTTTCACAATCCTTTTCACCTTTCCCTGAACCTCTCTGGCATGGTCTTCATTTTCATGCTGGTCGAAGTCCCCAATGTTTCTCGCGCGTGGTGCCAAGGCTTCCGGGAAGCCTGGGATTGCCTTTTGATGCGCCTTTCAATGGAAGAACCCCCGGCAAAGCATTTGCCAAGAGGATTAATACCAGGCCCCCCTAATAATAGCCCCTTAATTAAGAGGTTAAGGAGTGTCCATTCAGCTGCATTGCCGCTGTGTTTTTTCTCCTTCAGACATAGACATCCCGACTCAATGCACTACTTCCGTGGCCAGTTCTGCTTCTGTTTTGCCCAGATGCTCCTGGACCCTCATATGCAGGGGTCGGATCCGAACCTATGGAGGGGTCTGGACCCGAACCAAACCCTATGGGTTTTGAGGGGCCCAAGGGCTGTTTGGAGCATCTGGGCACATGACGTTTCAGAGTTCTCTGAAGAGTGCGTGGCTGGGTGAATGGCTCAGATATGTCTATGTTCAACCTTTACTTGGGATAATTGAACCCACTGACTGATGAGGTTTGCTTCTGTGGGCTTGGCTGAAGTCTTGGTTAGAGATCTTCAGGAAATCATACTCGTGGCTGCTTCGTTAGCCATTCCCGGATCCAGATGTCCTCTTGGCTCCGCTGATTCGTGCTGCCTTTCACACCCATCCCCTGCTCCGGTCCAACCGGCGTCTGACCGTGACACCGTGGGCCCCCCCGTGCCACGCGAGGCCAACGATCGGGAGATCTTGCGACGGCTCCTAGACGTGGCCGGCGCCACGAAGGAACTGCTGGCCGCTTCGCAAGCGAAGACGACCTGCCGAGGGGGGGGGTTGTGGCGATGGTCGGGTGAGGTGTCATTGGTTCTTCGGTTCTTGGGTTTCCCTGGCATGGGGAAGATGTATGTTTTTTCTCCAAACGGTGTGGCTACTAGGGGTTCTTATGGTAATTAAGAGTTAAGGCCGGGTTCTGATCGGAAGTTCTCGCATTTGTCAGCGTCTAATTCGCTGCTACTTACAGCCCATTCATTCACCTCGAGATTTTCGAAGTGCATTTGGACTGCGCAGGCTCGCAGCATCTGCTGGGCCCGAGTGTGTGCTCTTGTCGACTGCGCTCTCGGACTTGGTGGTCACGTTTCGTGGCAGGCGCACGGGAAACCTCCTGCAAAGTCCACTTCATGGCAGGCGCAGCACGTTGGACCTGGTGGTGGTCTTCGGTGCGCTCTGTATTTTTTTTGGCAGGTGCATGGAACCGTGACCTTTGGACATGTAGCTCGTTTTCATAAATCGGCGGATATTTTTGGATACGTGCTCTTGCTGCGAAACGCCTTGGCTGCGCAATGTGAATCTTGATGTGCAGATCTCGTGGCAGGCGAGAGGCGCGTGAAAGCTTTTTTGATGGTGTGTTCTACAGCCTGGTCAAGACAGGCGGCTTTGACAAGGACTATGGGGAACGCATGCTCCATCTGGTGGATTCTCGCTCTTGTGTTCAACAGATGTTTCGTTGGTAGGGTGTTGGAAAACCTTGGGCTTTCTTGGCGGGAAATTGGGAGAGACTTACAAGTATAAGGACTCGCTTCCTCCGCAGCAGAAAGCATGAGCTCTATCATCCTTTCGACTTTGTATACCACCATGTCCCGCCATATCCGGACGCGGTCACGCTCACTGAGCGGAAGGTGAAGCACATCCAGTCCTCCGAGCATGAGACAAGTTCCAATCCCAGTGCCTTGGCTCTCAGTCTCATTGAGTGCAAAGTCTTTGATGTCTCCCTTCTGTCTCTTGGAGTTTGAAACCAAATATCTAAGGTGAGGCCTTGATGGATGAAGTCCTTTTGGATGATGGTCCCGAGCGGCTGTCGGAGGTGGCGTCGCGCCTTCGGTCTGGACAGGTGGAACGCGCAAAAGTAACTTGGCTTTTTCAATGACTTCATTTGATTTGAGCAGCTTTGGAAGGGCTTCACCCCATCAGTCTTATGTAGTCATTGGAATGTCATTGCCATGATCATTGCAATTGATGTCAGGCACATGTGGAATGGGAGATCGATCCCCACAATGCCAAGCAGTTGGCGCAGCTGGCTATTGGTGAAGTGGAGCGGATCGGATCAAGAGGACGCACATTCACTGTCTGCTGAGTCTGCGCCCTTGGACCCATCGGTGCATCATCCTGCTGGTGGCACAAGCACCCAAGCGGGAGCCCATCCGACAGGAAAGGTGCCTCTTTTGCCTCCTCCTTTCACATAGATCCAGCCACCTGAGCCTGGTTCGCCGGGTTCGCGGTGGTGTTGCCGCATACTCAATCAATTTCTGAAGGCGCTCTTCAAGGGTCAAGTTCGCAGTGGATTCAGGCATCTTGGCAAAAACTGATATTAATATATTATAAAATATTATACGGATACAGACTGTTACAGTATGTCCTTTAAACTAGGGATTGGGTGTGGACGCTTGAACAGCGCCACGCTAAATCTGGTGTATGGGCTAGGGTATCCCAGCGAAGCTTTTCAGATGTGGCTTCATTTTCATCCCAGCCAGCACCTTCAGCTGGCCCAATGCAGGATGTGGCTTTAACTCTGCCTATGTTGGACCACCAGGCCGCTTCACATGCATATTACCTGTGGTGGTACCAGCGTGCGAACAATTAAATTTAAGCTACTCAGAGGTTGCTCAATTTGAGCTGCTAAGTACGTCAGTGATTCTAATTGACGAGCCTTACCTCGTGCATGTCTGGGAGAGAACCACGAAGTTGTCAGACATACTCGGTGTGCAAGTAGTCTTCTAGCCGAGGAACAGGACGTTTGTCAACACACCTCAATGCCGGATTGATGGCCGGCATGGCGTCCACCACGTGCTCATGTGCCCGCTGGCAAACCCACAGTGCTTGGTTCCATCCCATCAGAACGGCTCTCAGGCAGGGGCATACTTTGTCCCGGGCTCCACTCTTCTTGCACACAGCCTGAGCAACCGCAGCTCATCCAACAAAGCAACAAACATTCCAGTGACAAAAAGAACCCACAAGGGCATATCACCCACCATTGCTGGGTGTGAGCTTGAATCAACATGGCCTTCCAACTCACGAGGTTGCAGCGGGCTATGGAAACACAATCACAGGGAAAAGGTTGTGGAAGCTGCGATTGGCAACCCTCCAACTTGTTTGTCAGGGTCGAGCCAATGGGAAACTTATTGAGAAGTTGGTTGGACACTTCACCTTTGCTGGGCTGTTGCAGATGGGGTTCCTGAGCATCTGCCAGGCCACCGTCTTCATCCGGAGACGATCGATATTTGGCCTCAGGTGCATCGGGAGCTTCTGTGGGCCGCATCTCCGATTTGTTTGGTTAGGCGGGATTTGGCTGCACAACGGAGCCCCAGAGTGCATACAACTGACGCCTCGCTTTGCGGGAGAGGTGTAGTCGCTGGCGACACGGACATCGAAGAGGTGAAGGCTCTCGGCTGTGATCGCTGGCGCTTCGAGCCTTCATTATTAGGAGGAGGAGCGTGTGAATGACATCGAACTGAGACTCCAAGCTGGCCATTTTGACCTTGAGAGTGGATCACATGTACCTTGGCTTTATCGGGGATAGGTTGGTGGGCAAGGTTGCGTTGGACTTCATTGATGGGGAGTGCATGGTTGCATGTCGACGGTTTGAGATGGAATCAGAGTGAGTCGATCTGGAAGTGGCTTGCTCAGCCTCTCGCTCGACCTGGGGCGGAACACCTCATCCTCTCGGACTCCATGTCTGTCACTCTTGCGTTAACGAAGGGTCACTCTAGCAGTGGTCCCATGAATCGAGTGTGTATGCAGGTTGCGGCTTTGACTTTACGTTCAGGGAGTTCAGGGGTGCATCTCCAGCTTCGTTGACTACCCTTCTATAGGGCTCGAGATGTCAGAGACTTCAGAGTCTCTGCAAGGGCTAGAGAAGCTCTGCGAATCAGATCTTGAGCCGCAATGGAGGAGATCCGGAAGGCCAACTGTCCTTCGGCCAGTACCCGGGGCTTCAACCAGGAGGAGTCAAGACATTCCTGGAGAAGACAGCGGTGACCATGGCAAAGGAGAGATCCTATTGCCGGGCCATGGACGACTTCGTGGGCTGGCGCAAGATGTTCAATCTCAAGACCCGAACCGTGGTGGAATTGGATCACTCAGTGACACAGAAGCTAACCACATGTTTTTCGAGGGACACGACTTGGCCGACGGATTGACGCTGGTGGCGGCCGGTGAAGTACCTCAGAGACGACCTGGGCAAGACAACGACGCTCAAGCGAGCAGCAGAAGCCTTGAAGGGCTTTCACAAGTTGGTGCGTGCCATCGTCAAGGAGCTCTGGCACAGCTTCCGCGTGGGTGACTTGCAGTCGACCAGCAAAAGGTCTGAAGAGACCTAGCCTAATCGCCTGTGCAAGCACTGGGTGATGATTCCGAACACGCACCTATCAGATTCGTCACGGCAGTGCTTAAGATGTGTTCTAAGCGGTCATCGAACGCTGGGAGAAATCCAGAAGAGGCGACGGTGGGAGACCGCAAAAGTGTGAAGCGATATTCTAATGGTGGCAGGGTCACCCTTAACATTCGAGGTGTCTTTGCTGGTCTTGACAAGACTTGATCTCAACAATGCAAGTGTTGCCATGCGGCCCTGTCAGAGTTCTATCTTCATCCGACCCTCCAAAGTGTGTTTGGAATGGGCCCGCGTCTGTCTTCCAGATCCATTGTTGCAGGCCTACGTAGGTGTCTATCACCGAATTGGTGACATTAACTTTGGTTCTGATTGGAAATCACAGGAAGGTGGGCAGCGGATCCACAGTCCAAATGGCACAGCATTGGTTCAGTAGCCAGTATCAGGCCTCCCACCCAATGCTTTTGCAAGGCAAGCCTAGTTCTACTTCTACACCTCTAGGCCTTAGACCTTTAGACACACTGCTTGGTTGGGGTCTCTTGCAGGGATAATTTGTGTTTCCTCGGTTTCTGAGTCGGCCGCTTTTGACCAAAGTTGGGACCACCACACTCGCGCGTTTTTGGGGGCAGTGTGTGTCGGATTGTTTCGGAACATGCGCGAAGTGGATGGGGTGGGTGGGTGGATGTTGTGACAGGGACAGTTCACAAGGAGTGGTCGAAGATTGTCCAAACGGTGGAAAAAACACGAACGTCGTACACTTAACTACCGAGCAGAAAACATGCCATCGACAAGTCCATGTATAGTCCAACTCTACTATGGAAGGGTCGATGGGTTTTTGGGGGGTCAAGGATCCGAGACCCTCCAATACGGTGCTCCAAGGCGTGGTTGCCCGTGCTGCGGCTATTCTTTCCCGGGCTTTACTTTGGGCCCAACGTGCCTTTGGCACCGAACAAGACGCCGGACGCGGTCCGACGGTCCGACGCACACTACGGAGGCGGCTTGAGGTTCAACATGGGTTCGGCTGCAAAGACCACAAATGCTAACCCTTTTTTTACCTCCAATCGTGCAGCACGTGGTTGCCCAAGCTCGGTGGCGGATGTTGTGTTGCCCAAATGTTGACATTATCAAAAAACTTAGTTGAGTTGTAAGGCACGTTGACACATGAATCTTCGGGGCGGGTGGAATACATAGGTGGGCATGATTTGTTTTTTCGCCACATGTTTAAGTTGTGACAAAGCTGATGTCTTGTCATTCCTTTTAGGGTTTGTAGTTGTCACATTGAACGTTTGATTTTGGTAGTTTGCATTCCACAGATGTCATAATAAGGCGAACTATAGTGACTGATGAGTGTTTCACCAGGATTTAAACCACATGGAACGAACGAATCCCTACAATAGAGTGCAGTTTACCATGGTTGCCCAGCTCGAATTCCTGGATTCTAACGTTCCCAAACAGGTTTGTCGCTGTTTTCTCAAGAGCCAAGAAGTCACGCCAGGAATCCTACCAATCCACAGCGAAGCCTTGCCATCTTGCCATACTACTTATCTCGTGTCTACCAGGTAGATGGCCAAAAGAAAATCCACCAAGTTTCACTGGACCATTCATGAAAACCATCCCGTTTAAAAACGAATCTGTCGTGGTTCTTTGTCATTTCTACTCTTTGGTCGTTTCCAAACTGAACATGACCCACCCCCTAAAGAAGTAAAAACTTCTCCCGCCAAAAAGTCGCCCAACCCCCCGCCAAAAAAAGAACCCTCGCGCCCCATCCTCAGTCCCCCCCCCAAAAAAAAGAGGTCCACAATGACAAGGTCCGACGTGTTTTTTCACGTCGAGGTGGTGAACGCCATGGTCGAACGGGACGGCCTGCATGCGACGCGGCCTTCGCGGGCGCGGTGTCGGTGTGGTGTGTCGGTGGGGGTCGAGGGGAGGGGGGCGCTGAAGCAGGGTGGTTCTATGGAAGAAAAACACCAAGCAGGCAGGATGGGGCCGATGAGCAGCACATGAATGAAAACTGCAGGTGGAAGAGATGTGGAAATGTGGAAATTGGACCGTTCAGGGATTGCTGTGATACCAGTTAGTGTGACAGGTGCCTACCCAGTCCCATCCACCCCGGTGTTTGCTTCCACAATCTTGTTGAAGCCAAATTTGTTTCCTTCACAGCAGACTCGTGTGGCTCTGTGGCCATTGATGGGATTATAGCACCATGCTCTTTTTGCTCGGGGTGAGTCTATTTTCCCTATTCCCTTCTGGTAGAATATTACTTATGGTCTTCCCGATTCCACAGCAAATTCAACACGAAATGGAACAGACCTGTGAAAGATCTTGGCCCCATCAGACACATCCAGGCGATAGATGTGGTGGTTGTCTGCGGAATCATCAGGGTGACGTGGATGCCGGCCCAGTTCGCCCCGACGTTCGGATGAACCATGTTCCGTTAAAAAATAAGTGTTTTTCTCCACATCCATTAGCATCCATTAGCCTACTAGCGATGGCCTTCAACCCAATAGCGATGGCCCTATTCTGGGAGCGTCATGACCCCTATTCTCTCCCCCTCCAACGGTCAATGTTCGCCTGCAGGTGGTCACGCTCTGCAAGATGTTGATCAGTGCCTTTGCGAGGCACTCGACCACCAGCAACGGCACCGTGGTTCTGTCATTTGGCGCAGTTGCAGAAAGGGTCTGTGGAGAAACAGTCAAAAAATGGTGTTTCCGACGGGTGGTGGGTTTGTTTTCCAGGATCTGACAGATTGAACAGCTCTGAGATTGTATAATTGAAATGCTTCATGTAGCGTCAAGTTCCGCATGCTGCTGCCTGCGTGGTTTTCACCCCAACATTTGCACAACTGTTGATCGCTGACCAATCAGATGCTTCTGACCCTCACGGCATCGCAGTGAGGAAAGGCCACCATTTGCACAACTGAAATTGTCCCTAGGATTCCTAGCCCACCAGCAATTCAACGTCTGAATCCCGAACAACCATTGTTTTACTGAGGATCCTACACTTCAACACCGGGTCCTTCCCATTTGAAGCAACGTCGAACGGAAGGCGAACGGGTGAAGAGAAAACCGTCCGTTGACGGTGCAGCAGCGCTGAGGCTTCACTTGCGTCGTTCCACCTCCTTCTTTGGCCAATCAGATGTCGCTTGGAGAAGTCCTTGCGGCGCCGGCCGGGCGCGCCGTGAGAAGATGCGTAAGTCGTTGGACACGGTGCCGGTTGGACACGGTCGCCAGTCGAAGGGAGGGCACCGAGGTCCGGTCGCCAGGACCGGACGGATTCCGAGCTTCTCATTGGACGACGCGGTGGTCGCATGGAAAGAATCCCAACAGCCTGATGGATACCGAAGAAAAGCAGTTGTCCGGGAGGGGAAAAGTGTTCTTCACCCCCTTCCAAAACCCCCGTCGATCACTGCGGACAGAGAACGAACGAGAAACATCGTTCGAAACCCTCCTTGAAACATGAACAGATAGAGCTCTTTGCTGGCAACACCGGAGGAGATGATCCTTGCAGACAAAGGATCTAATCCTTAGGTTCTGCATGGCAGAACCTACAGTTTGGTAGATCATGTTGCACCATGACACCGGCGCACGGATCTTGAACATGAACTTTACTCCACCAATGGGTTGAATGTTTTCGCTCCAACTGAAGCCGATCTTGGCCAGAATGTTTGGGGCGGTGCAGTGTGGCACCCATGTGCGGTCGGTTACACCACAGCCCATGTCGTCAGCAACAAGTGCTCCACCTGTAGTCTTTGAGATAGCAAATGGCGAGAGCAAACAGTGAATCCCAGTGACCACAGGTTTCTAGGCCTATGGTTTTTGGTCTTCGGAACCACTGGAAACACCAGCGACATTGTGGAGCCACTGGAGCCACTGGGAAACACTGTTAGTGAAAGATTGACTCCTTCTCCATGGTGAGCCACGTCCTCTGGCACACGTGGCTTGTCATGCTGCTCTTTCTCGTCCAACACGTCAGGACTACGATGAGAGAATCGATGCTCGGCTGTTTTGAGGATGTTCGATGCCTTGCACTCCGCTGAGAATTCAATATACCAGGACCTTCCAAGGGGTGCCCAATGGAAGCCCCAGCCCACCACTAAGGGACCTCCATTGGACACCCCTTGGAAGGTCCAGGTATATATATATATATACATTTGTTCATCGTTTTTTTCCCAGAGCAACCTGAAACACGGGTCCTGGGCTTCGCCTGGTCCTGGTCCTTGATATTCACAAGAAGCATGTGGTGCCGTGGCCCAAGGTCTCCGAGAGACGGTCTGAGATCAGACTCGACTCCTCTGACCGTCTCTGTTTCTGACGGTGTTTCTGGGGCCCATGAACAAACCATTCAGATATCTCTTCTAAGAGAATACATGAGGGGCTTCCTCCATTTGGGCCAAAGACCAGATGTCCTCTCAATATATGGGGCAGGTTTGACCTGGACCGCGGAGATGATGGACATCGAAGACTTTGCTGTGTTTGCACTGCGTTTGTGGTGCAGGAAACTTGAATCTTAGAGGTCTATCAATGTTGTTTTGGGTCATGGGAAGAAGACTGACCTGCTTGGTGTGGAAAGAGTTGTTACCGTTTTACCATGTAGAAGAATTCGAGCATTTCTACAAGCAACCAAAAGCGAAGGGACAAAAACCTCCCCAAACCTCTGGTGTGTGCGGCCAGGTACCACATGAGTATATTATGAATTCTATCCCTGAGAGTCCAGTCATGGGTCATGACTCATTTTAACCCTATGCTAGTCGGGGATGATGACTTTTAGGTAGTAGAATGACTCCTTATGGAAGCTCTGTGATTCTTTCTTTTCTTCCACTTCAGAGTTGACACCACTTTCACCAGGGCGTGCATGACCCTGTGATGCGCCACAGCTCCCGTAGAGCTCCCGCAATCCAGCGCCCCTTCGTTGCGCCGAGCTCGCCGACGCTCGCCTCACTGTTTCGACGCGGTCGTGGACGCGGCTGGCAGTGAGGTGGATGGGATCATGGAGCTCACGGAGCTTCGAGGCGCCAAGCCGTTGATCTTTTGCCTGGTCGCCCGGGAGGCGGGACTGCCCTCCAAGGCGCGGGTCATGGCTTCGCGCACGTTGCACACGTTGCATGCGGGCTGGGAGGAGAGAGGAGAGAGAGGATAGATAGGAGAATGGGATGGAGGGGCAGAATGGATCCATCTTGGAGACTGAGAACGTGTCTATCTTGCCCAACCCTCCCTCCAACAATCATGGAAGCGGAAAAAAAAAACACACCTTTTGATTCAGGAACATAGTCTTCCACTGGGGCTATTGTCCACTTCTATAGATTGTTGGAGGGACGGGAAGCAGTACAACCCCACGGGCTTCAATCACACTCTTTATCCCATTGATCATTGATCCCCTCTCCACCGAATCCTCCGCTGCGCACCAACCCCGCCTAGTACCGGTCGAAAAACAAAGTCAACATGCTTGACGACCTATGTGTGACTAGACCTAGAAGTCAACAAGTTGTTCAAGACTTGTAACTCTAAATCGCAGTATTTCGTGTCAACCACTACCAAGCCTTAACTAGAATTCACGCTGTTTGCACGGGTCACTCTTCATGGCGTTCCTTCCCTTCTCCAGAGCCACCCGTTGCTCCTACGTTGCTCCACGTCCTCCCGGCCGACCCGGTTCATCCCCGGCGCCGAAGCGTCTCACGACGACGTCTCCAGGCGGTTCAGCCACGTGCGAGGCAAGTCAGCGGCGAAGTGCGAGTCAACAACCTCTCGCTGGAGCTTCGGTCGAAGAACGACGAACCGTGGTGCAGCATGGTCGAATCATGTCGTAGACTCGAAGAAGATGTTTTCATCCCCCCCAGAGATGGATTGTAAAAACCTTTTCGTATGGAGGTTATATGAAATCAAAGTCATTAAGAACCCTGGGAAACTCCACTGGGACCATTCTGAAATGCCAACCCAAGATCTAAGATGAGTCTGAACAGGAGCGCAGAGCTGCAGCTGTGCAAACGTTCACGAAGAGTTGAACGTGGATCAGGCGATCTGTATTCTTCTTCCCGGTTCTGGGGTGAATCCTCCATGGGGAACAGGTGCTTCTCCGGGTTCAACGTCCGCATGAGGAACAAGAAAGAGCTTGGACCGTGCACGAAAGTAGCGTGCGGTTGACGGATGACCAGGTAAACAGCCGATGCACTGGACAACTGTAGATCCTCATGCTATGCAGGCTTCAGCTTTGAGATACTTTGGGGGATACCTCTAGCACGAGTGGAGGCCTGTAGTGAAGGCCTTGGCATCAGAGGTTTATGGACGCATGGAAATGCATCCCATAATTGGTCCTGCCGTGGACACATGGGCGTTGAGCGGTCAAAACCTTCAAGAGTCTTCAAGGCAGGGGTCAAATTCTTGAGGATCCTTTGCGAATCTAGGTGGATTAGAGATCTTCACACATGCCCTGCCGAAACGACCAAAGCATTGTTTAATTAGGGAGATGCCTTATCATGCGTTGCTTTCTTTGCAGCATTGCATCTGTCTTCGGACCAGTGACTGACTGCAGTGGAATTGGGGAAGACAAAAAGTGTGGGGGAAGGACTATGAAAAAAAAATAAACAACTGTGCACCAAGGGCTCTGGCTTTTGACTCACAGCCAATACTCTGGCTTCGAGCTCCGAGAAAAGAACTGCCCGACTTCGTTCAGCGCCGCCCTCAGGACCTCACTGAGATGTATGTCCAGCACATGGTCCAAGCGACCGAGGGCGTCCACCCAGACCTCCTTCAGTACATCTTCGCTTCTTGGACAGCGATGAAAACCCTGAAGCTAGTAGTAACAGGTGCCTTACTAGTAGTAACAGGTGCCTTACTAGTAGTAACAGGTGCCTTACTAGTAGCAACAAGAAGCTAGTAGTAACAAGTGCCTCACTATAGTGTATAGGGCTCCCCTTGGCCAGGGCCCAGTCGACCAAAACCCACGGGATCAGCGGGTGATTGTTGGTGGGTTTGACGGGTTGGGTGTGATGTTGCGGTTCCGCACGGGGGAAGATGATCTTGGACCTTTCTCCCCGACTTCCTGAATACAGCCAAATCATGCCAAATCCAAGATCGGGCTGAGTGTAGACCTACGGCCAAGATCAGCCTTTAATGGGCACCGCAAAGGCGCCGCGGGCGGCACGCCGCCTGGCGTCGGTCGACCGTATTCCTGGTGACTTCGTGATACCATAGAGTCGGTCGCGTCGCCCAGTCGACGTTTAAAACATGACTCGATGACACGACGTCGGCGTTCGATTTTCCTGAACACTTCGGTGCACGACGTGCGGGTTAGTCGAACTGGACTTCGACTTTTGGGCTGCCTACATTCCTCCTTCTCCAGGTACTTCAGTCTTCTTATTATGCTTCTTTGTTTGCTTTCAAGAGCGGCTGTTTGTTGACCCTTGGTGGTGGCCCGAAGTTTTGGAGCTTGTGCTCCGGGAGTAGGACCGCAGGATGGTAGATCTGTGGAACTGCCCTTTGCAGGCCGTGGAACAAAAACACACAGACCAGCATTTGCGTTCCAACTGCAACGCCAGCAGAAGTCAATAAGAACATGTAAAAGAACATAATGTAAGAACTCAAAGTCGCCAAGAGAAGCCACATCAACAGACACTCACATGATGCGATGCACATCCCTGCCCTGCTGGGACTCCTCTCTTCACTCTTCAGTTCCATTCCGCTCGCCGAAGAACCCAGCTCCGCTGGAAAGTCGCCGCGACGCTGGTGTCACCGCGCATGCACTCCGCCCACTCGAATCACACGCTGAAACCACCTGCTCTCAACATTCTAAACCTGCTCTAAACTCTCCAAACTCTCTGGAACCATCCTCAAAACTCCTATAAAAAGCCATTCCACCATCGCTCCTCTTCGGGCGCCTTCGGCCCCCCGGCCAACGCCGCGAAACGCCGCGTGCCAAGGAGAGCAGCGGCGGGAACCCCTACGGCACCCAGCTGGTGCTCTCGGAGCTCCAGCAGCGAGGCACCGTGCAGGTCCTCGAGGCCCCCGGGGTGGAGAAACCGCGGGGTTTCCCCCCGGTGTCCCAAGCGGAAAGAAATGAGAACGAAAACCCAGTCGTTTGGTCGTTTCCGTTAGAAATCTCAAGCTGACGCCAGAGCTCGCAAAAACCAGAACTGTTTCTGGTCGTTACTGCTTCCAGGAATGGTGTCAGGGCGTGACCGGGCGACAAAATTTCTGCGCACAAACCGAGCGTGTGGATCTTGGAACCGTGTCCAAAAATAGGCTCTCCCAGTTGGGTACCCCAGGTGTTCCGGGTCTAGAGTCTAGCCGCCTAGCCTCTCTCCATCTCATTACCTCGCACCACTTCGTTCTTCCAACAGCCTGAAACGCTTCCCGCTTCCCGCTGGGATCCGGTCGTACATTCTCAGAAGGCACTTGGACCCCTCTACAGCCACCCCAGTCCCACCGTACCTGAGAAGGTACGACTGGATCCCTAGGGCTTCCAATGGGCTCCTCCTATTTGACGGTCACCTGAATTCAGGTCACCTCTCTTGGAACCGACCACGGTCCCGACCGCGCTCGTGTTCACCCTCTTCGGTCGCGGCACCTGCGCGCGAAGGGCCGCCTGGAGATCGATGGCACGGGCCGCCTGCGTCAGGACGGGCGCAGCGCAAGCGCCGGAGGTTCGGCCGAGCAGCGCCGGAGTTCGAAGAGTGAAGGGAACGCCTTAGGTGGCTGAGCCCTGGATGGATCAGAGAAATGACCAACCTCTTCCAAACGGTTCGTACAACATGCAGTCATGGCACCACACGCCTTCAGGCGGGCTCAGGACATCCGGCTCTGGAGTCATGAAGACCCAGGGTTCGAGTGTTCTGGTCAAATCATCCCAAAGGATTCGATGTCTGGAGGCTCCTCAGGTTTCATCAAAGCACATTCAATGATCATGAGCGGATGAAGGTTTAGCTGTTCACAACTGTTGAAGGTTTCGGGGACTGAGCCGCCCAGTTCAACCAGCCTCTTCTTCGCGCGCGCAACACCGCGGACATTCTCTGGGTGTCTTTTGCACAGAAGGGTTTTCTTGACGGGAAGATTGAGTGCGAGAATCCATTCAACTTAGTGTCTTGTTTCGGTCACTGTCACAGTGTACAGATTTGGACGTGTGTTTGCTCTGCGAACCTGGCTCCTCATTTTGTTAACGAAGTAAGACAAGAAACGTGCATGCGTATTCACGGGTCAGTCCAGCAAAAAGTTGTTGACAACCAATGCAGGTACTTGCTTTGCTAAAAAGGGATTGGCATCATTGGTGATCTATGATCCTATGCAGACAAAGTGAGGGTTCATTGCAATCTTTTGGTGGCAAACAATTAACGTCCTCGTGTCATGAGGGTCTCATGTCTTGAGGGTCTCATGTCAGGATTCACAAGTGATTCAATCTAATGAATCACAATTCAGCACTTTTGGAGGTACCGCACAACCCCCAGTTGTGGATTCAGTGTAGGGGATGCGCAGGAACCCACACAATACCACTGACTCCGACCTTGCCCTTCTTGCCAGGAGTACCCACAGGTACCTTGGATGAAGATCAGTTCCTTACTGCAGAAAGTTTGTAAGACAGCCGCGTTGCGACAGCAGTTCTAATGAAGAGCGTTTCCCTTCAGGGGTGACCCAACTGGCTACGGGATGTTACGCAGTTCTTCAGGTGGATGTGTCATGTGTCCCGGTTCCTGGGTGATCGGCGGCGTGCCAGGGAAGATGTTCTCCGAAACGTGGGGTCCGAAACCCGCCAATCCAAGGTTCTCTTCATCCAAATGTGGATGAAGGGTACCAGGACCATCCGACCATCGGGGTGCCCTGTCAGTGTCAGCCGATAGGTACTGTGGGGTAGTCCAGGGACACCCCGATGGTCGGATGGTCCGTTCGACCACCCTCTGGGCGGTGCTGGTATTCGTTCGGACCACCGAGAGTCCGCACCGGTTCGGACCCTCTTTGACGGCAGGGGTCCAGAAGCGAAGCAAGCTCTTGAGAGTTTGGGGGGGGGGGGCGGATTCTTATGGTACTCAGAGTTGTTCTAATAAGTAACTTTGGATCCTTGTTTTTCTCCTTCAGAATTACTAACCGCCAAGATCCGTAAGAAATTTGTAGATCTGGTCTGAGCATCGAACAGCTGTTCGGAACAATTGGGCAAGCTTTTTGCTATTCATTGGTTGATTTATGGAGGGGACACTCCCAGGTGCACAATCAATTGGGACATGGTACCAAACTGACCCCTCTATTCTTCCCAAAAGGACATCACTGATTGGCTACCCAAAACAATCCCTCAGAAACCGGATGCCCAAAATTGCAGCCACAAAAGTCCAGAATTGAAACAAAACAAGTCAATCGAAAAATAAAACTAACAATCTTAAATGAGCTGCCAGGTGTTGTTCTGTTATATAAACTTGTCCTAGCTTCTCCAGAGCCTGAAAGGCTCAAAACAGCGCGGCAGCCGCACTACCCAGGTGCTCATTGGCATGGCCTTGGCCACCTTTGAGAAGTTGCCTCATCGACAGCAGGACTTGGCTTCTCGACAATCAATCGTCGACGGAAGCGCACCGGTTCCTCAAAACCTAGGGATTGGTGAGAACCAGACCTCTCTATATAAGGATCTGGCCTCGCTTTGGAGGGCCCATGCGCGTTTGCGCACTTGCAAAAGCTTTTTGGGGAAAGACCGCTCAAGATGGTGGGAAAGTCTAACCAGAGTGTCCTGGCTACAGTCAGTTTCACTGGCTTGATTGATAGAACACGTGGACACTTTGGTTCACATTTCTTTTCCAGAAATCGATCTTTGGCATCAGGAGTCCGTCAATCAACGGGAGGGGCGAGTTTTCCGGCGGCAGCGCTGGGGCCGTACGTACTTCGGAGTGGCTGGGTCTTCTGGTATCGCTGTGTTC